TTTCCAGACAAAATATATACTTGGCCATAGTTTTTTTAACCGAAAACATATACTTAGCCATAGTTAAATCTAAATTTCGTAGCTTCCTAATAAGCTTTACCTTTGATTAAATTGAAGCAATGCTTAGATGGGGTTTTCATCTTCGGTGTTTTGTTTTTCTTCACAAAAAATACTAATTATTTAATCACATTTGATCATTTTTYTCCTTTGAAATATGAAAATATAGGAAACAAAAGAAGAAAACAGTAAGCAAAAAGAACATCAAATGATCAATCAAATTTATTTGTTTCTATAATATATCATAAAGATTGGGAAAAACATTTTATATAAACAAACCCACGCGTATGTGCGGAGTACCGATCTAGTAAACCCTAATAGCGAGAAGATTTGGTGAATTTTGAGAAATTGATTTTCCAGAAAGTAAAAAGTTGTGTTTCTGGAAACGTCCGCGTCTCACTAAGCAAATTTATTTGAGATAAGATTTTTGATATTAAAAATTTAACGTCAGTTAAGTAAGTGACTGTAAATACGGCTTAAGTCTAATAATAATAGTTAACGTCAGTTACATAAACGACTTAAAATAAGTGACGTATTCCGGCGTATTTGTTGTAGTGTATTGGAATTACAAATTTTACCATATTAAGCCCTTCATTATACACACCTTCCTGCGCTACAAAGACAGCGAGCAAGGTCGTAGTAAAGAGCAGCTGATCCAACAATACCACGGCTTTCCATATTCTCAACCGTTTGTATGGCCTCATCAGTTTTACCTTCTTTCCACAGAGTATTAACAAGAACTGATCACATGTAGGGATGGTTACTCCGTCAAACGCTGATAATATAAATGAAAAGTATGTAGAGTTCACACAAAGTATGAAGAGTTCACACATGCATTGAGCACCTGTGATGAACAGATGTCCAGCATCCGCATTATCTGTTTCCAGGGATAAATGTAGGCTATATAGCCTATAGATATCTTCATTAGAATGAGAGAATTATAAAATACTGACCGCATTTTAAACAACAACGCCAGGTTCTTTAGCTGATTTTAGGGTTTTTGCTGATTGAAACGAAAGAGAAGAATAC